GAGAGAGAGGGAGGAGGAGAGAGAGAGAGAGAGAGAAGAAGGAGAGAGAGAGAGAGGGAGGAGAGAGAGAGGGAGGAGGGGAGAGAGAGAGCGCGCGTAAAGAAGGGGAGAGAAGAGAGGGAGAGGAGCGGGAGAGAACATAGAGGAGAGAGAGAGAGAGGATAGAGAGAGAGAAAGAAGGAGAGAGAGGGAGAGGGAGGAGGGGAGAGAGAGAGAGAGAAGAAGAAGGAGGAGGAGAGAGAGAGAGAGAAGAAGGAGGAGGAGAGAGAGAGAAGAAGAAGAAGAGAGAGAGGGAGGAGGAGGAGGAGAGAGAGAAAGAGAGAGAAGAAGGAGGAGGAGAGAGAGAGTACAGAAAGTGTAAAGAGAGTGGGGGGGAGGAGGGAGTGGGAGCAAGGAAGGAGAGATGACAGTACAGAGAGATTAATCATCTTCAATTTACAGGCAGGACATCAGACAATAGGTGCGCACAGGTATGTATGATGGAAGCAGATATGTAGCATTGTACACTACAGAAGAAAGCAACAAGCTGACAGCGCCCACACACCGCAGATCACTCAGCAATAGCAGCGTAATAATATGATTTATATAATACTGAATCATAAGGGGACAACATTCAATTCCTACCCATGGGGAGGGGGATTCTGATGGGTGTGAGGGATGATTCTACTTGTCAAGCAACATTTGTGATCGGCACCTCAGAAAGTGCACGTAAAGCCAAAACCTTTACTTTTAGTTTTTGATAGAACAGGGAAGGGTTAAATCTGAGCTCCGGGATCAGCAGACGTCGTCCTCATACAAGAGTCTTGCGTGTTCTTTGGGAATCTCGGCGAGCTTTGTGTATGTCTTCGGATCTTACAAATGTGGGAGGAGCTTTGGCTATGCGGAGGAATGTCAGTTTGGCCAAAAGATTATAGTGATGTGACGTGTACAAAACTGGCAACTTATCCGGCTGACGGAACGGCCATTGTGTGATTATTATGTCATTGGCGTCAGATTTAGAATATGCCGATTTGTTATATTTTTAGTCCTTTGAACCCGTTTTGTAATATTTATCATTTCTAATAATAGCTCCGCCCACTGGATGACTCAATTTATTTGACTCATACATGATTCCCTACTTTCTTCCCAGAATCCTTTGCTCATCTCACACATTGTAGTATAGAACGTCCTCCCCCAGTATTCCTAATTACACAGCCGTTATAAATACCGCAAGGAATAGCCGCACTTCCACCATGACAGACACGATTGTCTTCTGACCGCAGCTTGTTGTGTCCACCATTGTGTACAAACAGATACAACTCAGAGAACGCACAACTCCATTGTTGTATGAAAAAACTGAATGAGAAATCATTGTTACATTGTATCATTGCAAGTTCTCACTAGAGACCGGTGACATCACTGAGAGTGCAGCCTATCCCTTCACTAGAGAGCAGTGACATCACTGAGAATGCAGCCTCTCCCTTCACTAGAGACTGGTGACATCACTGAGAATGCAGCCTCTCCCTTCACTAGAGACTGGTGACATCACTGAGAATGCAGCCTCTCCCTTCACTAGAGACTGGTGACATCACTGAGAATGCAGCCTCTCCCTTCACTAGAGACTGGTGACATCACTGAGAATGCAGCCTCTCCCTTCACTAGAGACTGGTGACATCACTGAGAATGCAGCCTCTCCCTTCACTAGAGACTGGTGACATCACTGAGAATGCAGCCTCTCCCTTCACTAGAGACTGGTGACATCACTGAGAATGCAGCCTCTCCCTTCACTAGAGACTGGTGACATCACTGAGAATGCAGCCTCTCCCTTCACTAGAGACTGGTGACATCACTGAGAATGCAGCCTCTCCCTTCACTAGAGACTGGTGACATCACTGAGAATGCAGCCTCTCCCTTCACTAGAGACTGGTGACATCACTGAGAATGCAGCCTCTCCCTTCACTAGAGACTGGTGACATCACTGAGAATGCAGCCTCTCCCTTCACTAGAGACTGGTGACATCACTGAGAATGCAGCCTCTCCCTTCACTAGAGACTGGTGACATCACTGAGAATGCAGCCTATCCAATCACCTGAAGTGTGCCATGGTCCGGGTGGACAGTAATGCCAATAAGGGGGTATACTCTGATAGAGTGAAATGAAGTGAAATCCCGACTGTGAAACCCAAGGGACGGATGGGAGGGTTGCTCGGAAGACCTCCTGTCCCAAGCAGTCTGACCGGCGCTGCTTAAGAGGAGTAAGGAGGCGCAGACTCCTCCCACAAATTCAGGCTAATCTATCTATTAGCCTAAACTGGAATGCATCAAAAACGCGGCAAAAACACATGCAGATCCGCACCTGATCCGGACCTGAAACTCATGTGAACAGGCCCTCAGTCATCGCAGCCGGTAAGGTGACCCCCCCCCCTCCCCCCATCTCCCAAAACTATTTAGCATAGAATTAAAATTCCGCTGCACCCGACGCTGGAAATAGTTTGTTTGTCGGGCGCCCACGCAGCCCAGGAGACGCGCCGTCCAAACCTGTCAAAATTTACACCAAAATCAGCAAACATTCGGAATAAATCATTTCTGGATCCCTGAAAACAAAACAAGAGAGAACGTTTCTGAGGAGGTGGATTTTCGGGACGCGGCGAACGCCAAACACACACAACAACGCTCCCCGCTCTGCAGATGACTTTATACAGACGAGATACTTTTATGTAACTGGATACAAATCCGATACTTTGATATCATTTCGCAGAGCGGAACGTTCTTCTATATTAGAGGCCGTGGGGGGGTTAAAGGAGCACTCCACCCCGAGCCCAACCTGCGGCCCTCCAATCCTCAGCGCGGGGGAAGGAGAAGTGTTGCTGTGCTCTGGCAGTGAAATGGTTTATTTCTGTCTCTCTTCTATTTTTATGTTTAGTTTTTTTCCGCTGATCTTTTATAATGGAGAAATATCCAATGTGGCGGAAGTAATCTGTAAGTGGGCTGCAGGGAGAGAAAATGTAAAAGCCCTGACTTGTAAAGGGGCCGTAATAGCCAATATCTCTCCTGTACCATGTCTGCAGTCTCTGACCATCTCCTGTGTTATGTCTGCAGTCTCTGACCATCTCCTGTATTATGTCTGCAGTCTCTGACCCTCTCCTGTATTATGTCTGCAGTCTCTGACCATCTCCTGTATTATGTCTGCAGTCTCTGACCATCTCCTGTATCATGTCTGCAGTCTCTGACCATCTCCTGTATTATGTCTGCAGTCTCTGACCATCTCCTGTATCATGTCTGCAGTCTCTGACCATCTCCTGTAT